AAGGCACTAAACATGCATCAGAGTACTGGACCATGTGTAAATACATTATGCAACAAACTCATGCAATGTTAAGTGTGTTTAAAATATTAATTTAAGTCGTGAGCGGGGGGAAAAAGTTACAGTTTCTGGGGCTTTTGGGAGCTTTATTAGACTTAGCAAGGCATTAAAAACGGTCTTGGTTGGGGGTTTGATTTTCCTGAGTCACTCATAAGGAACGTAAACACTCTTTGGATTAAGACACGGTGTAAAAATGTCCATCACACTGATCCGTGAGGCATCTCTGAATGTTTGGGAGAAGCCGCCTTCACAACAGCTGGGCAGAACGCATACCCACAATGCATTGGAGCTATAAGTCCAAACAGACCCCATGTCCTAATTTAAACCTTTTGTTTACACAGAATAAGTCTTTTGCTCTTCTGATATAACTGCAGTTGGCTAGTTGAGAGTTTCCTTGTGCCTTGCTCACGGGCCCCAAAATAGAAAATGATTTCTCGTTGACCTTTACAACTAACTTTATTTTTTCGAACGTTTCCCAAAACTATTGAAATACAACTGAGGATTTCAATGTCATCCTTTGGCCTTGATGCTGGCTGATGTGGGAATGTAACCTTATAGCTATAATAACAACATTAGCATCTAACAATTGTTTTAAATATGGATAAATCTGCCAAATACAATCAATATTTCCCAGAACACAAAGTGAAAAGTTGCCTAATTTGGTTAATGACAGGGTTCATACACTTTTTCACCAATGATTTTCAATGACTTTTCCATGACTTCTCCAGGACCTTTACCTCATTTTCCATGATCAAAAACAGCGGTAGGTACTAAGGATGGGAATTTGAAAGCAAATGTATATTCGAATATTCGACCCCCCCAAAAAACGGTTAACCGGTTAACCGAAATGTACATATCCTATAAAAACAAAAAATTCAGAATTGTTTTTATTACAATTTTATTTCAATATTTTTTTAGAAATACATACATGTTCAAATAAGTGTAGAAACCAAGTCGAATTTGTCAAATGTATTGAACTGGTGATCACAGTTTGACAGCTATAGGCCTACAGCTTTCATGTGTGGAGGCGATTCACAATCAGGCCAGCTGTAGAGAAGACCCTCTCAGCTGGAACGGAGGTTGCGGGTATAGCAAGGTATATATAAGTTTAATTTGGCATAGTTTGACCTCTACACTAACCTGGTAGAAATATTTCCACACATTACTCCTTTTTGACGCCATGTCTGTTGTGTAGGACTCTTCTTAGAGTGTAAATAATTACTGGACTATGACTGGTAAAATATGTTGAATACTGGCAAAACTAAATCCCTCCAGTCAAAATGTCTCTGTACTTTGCCGCCACACACGGTTGCCAAGCAGCGCTTATTGTTGTTTAGGCTGGCCACTCATGTGTCACGGGTGTTGACAGGGGGCGGGGGAGAACGCTCATGAACTGTTAGCGCCGGAACCTCGCAACGGCTGCGGAGCTCATTTGCGCCACATTTGGGCCTAAGATGAGGTTTGAGTCTGCGTGATCTGCGTGTAGGGAGGGGCAGCAGCCATATCATTGGCTAGAACTAGCTAGATCTGATGGATTTGGACATAAACGCAAGTGAAGTATAACCGGACACGAGAGAGAGATCAGCACCTGCAGCTCTGCCCGCTGTGAGGGACCGGTGAGCGGAGCAAAACACACCTTTAGACGTCACCTAACACATTTAGCTATGGCACAGTCGTATATATATACATTGAATTATTCAATTTGATAATATGTAATCAACTTGGGCATCACTCCCACAAAAAAAAAAAAAAAAAAAAAAAAATACAAATATTCATAACTCATATTCGAATACATGAATAATTTCGAATATTCGAATATTCGACTAATCGTTCCCATCCCTAGTAGGTACCACTGAAAATGGTTTATTTTAACATGGAACAGGAAAATAAGGTCTGCATCTGAAACATGTTGTGTCTATCTAAAACAAATCCAATAGGCCTACTAGCTTCTACGCTAAAGCAACTCAAATCTCTCACCGGCAAAACACCTCGTCAGTTAAATGCCATTCTACGTTTCATTACTATATGATACAGTATTTATTATCATAGTGTTACTATTTCGACGATTAGATAAAATGTAAATTATATTTGATGCAAGTTTAGTTACAGTTCCATGACTTTTCCAAAACTTTGGGAAAAATATTGTTTTCCAGGGCCTGGAATTATTTTTTGCATTTCCATGACTTTTCCAGGTTTTTAATGACCGTAAGAACCCTGTAATGATCAGTCCCTAAAATATGATATAAATCAGTAAATCCTCATATTTAGGATTTTCACAGATATTGAAGTGACTGTTAAATTGTATATATTGATTGTTGTGCTTTTAGTTATGTCTTTAATGTGTGCACAATGTATGAATGTGTCTGATTGTATATATACATGTTTGTATTTTGTATTCCTCGGGATTGTGGGAAACTGTATTTCGATCTCTCCGTCTGTACACACAAGTCAAAATCAACTTTATTGTCAATCTCAAAATATGTTTGTACACACAGAAAGATCGAAATACTGTTTCCCAGAGTCCCGAGGTATAAAAAACTCACACATTAAAATGCAAGAACACTCAATAATTTACAAAACACAAAATAACCGTTTACTTCAAACTGAAAGATTGACAATAAGGTTGACTTTAAGAATATATTACTATCGGGCTGACAGATAGCACAGTGTTTAAAGCGGGCGGCCCATATGTAGGGTACCACTTCTCAACATTTCAGGTAATGTCATCCCCTCATTTCAACTCTGCACCTCCAAGAAAGTCACTCTGGCCCGAAAAATATCATAACTAATCAAAAGGAAAAGGAACTAGCTCGAATGGACACCGTTGCTGCTTTTCGGACACAATTATTTAAGCTGATTTATTAACAAAAACACACTTCAGAAGCCACACCGTAATTGGATTTCTTTCTCCATGTTATTGCGGGTCTCTCATCTTCTCCTCTCCTTTCCTGTGTTGATTATGGACGGCACGTACTGGGTGTAAATCACAGTGAAATATGCAAGTTGCCTAATTTGGTCAATTATCAGTCCTAATGTCCCCGAAATATATGATTTACACCGATATAAACCAGCAAATGCTCATGTTACTAGCATGTTGCCGGATAGCACAGTGTTTAAAGCTGCCCATATGTAGGGAACCACTTCCGAACATTTCAGGTAATGTCATTCCCCCTTTTTCAACTCTGCATCTCCAAGAAAGTCACTCTCTGGCCCAAAAAATTATCCAACATTAAAAAAAAAGAATGAGGAACTCGCTCAAATGGACACCGTTGCTGCTTTTCGGACACAATTATTTAAGCTGATTTATTAACCTGTTAAGTCCGAAGGTCCCCGCCGGCGGGTACCTTAGTTTTTTTTGTTCACGACACTGTGTCTCAGGGGATCTTAATATTTAAGAACCTATTAATGTGTTATATCAGATTAACGGGAATAATCTCAGCTAACTGACGATACAAACCATTTTTACCAAAACAAAACACAAGCCTCATAAGAAGCATCTAAATGACCCCTGAGCGAAAAATGCTAACCTATTACTGCACCGATAATCACTCCTAGCTCCCTTATTACTTATCCTAGGTGCACATCCAACACATCGTTTATGATCGCAAGGAGACACAGAATCTAACGGTGCTCACCTCAACACCGAAAGATACAAACTCGTGACGTTATCAACAAAAACGTACATCAAAACAAGTGGCGCTAGGTAGCCCACAACGCTAACATGGCTTACCTTCGTCTTTGTCTGGTCTAAACTGGTCTTCAATGGCATTAAAACGATGCTGTAGTAAATCCATAGGTTAATCCAATGTGTCTGCGTCCCCTTTGAAATGTTCTGATAATCCATAAGCAATAAAACTGCTTTTCCGTTGCTTGATATCAGAGCAGCGATATTTCTCCCCTCTGCTGCAAGCTAGCATGCGCAGAGAGGCTACCTCTTTTTTTTAACATGAGAGTCTATGTGACGATTTCCCTTGGATTCTATTGGCTCTAACGGTCAGGAAGAGATGTCACATGTCACAATCGAGCAAGGGGGCCAGAGATAAGGAAAATCCACCCAAATGACCCCAGAAGAGTTTTCTTTTGCTAAATCTGTCTAAAAAGGTCAAATGTCACTTGTTTTGCATCAATCTTGATACAGGGTACTTATTATATGTTGTACTTTGGATTCCTAAAGCTTTTAGTCTACTAACCCATCATCCAAGGTTAGTTTTCACTATAAGTACAACATATTTTTTGGACGGACACTATAATTTACAGTTTTTTTACCATGTTCAATCTGAGTTTTCTTTAAAATAAAAAACATCTATATTGATTCTGACTTTTCTACATCCAACTCACAGGTTTATCATTACTTTGAGAACAAAGATTATTAATTTACCCCTTTTAGAAGGGAAGATATGATCATTTGTTCTGGGAATGTCATTTTCGAGCCTGAAAAACAGGCTTGGGGCTGAACAGGTTAACAAAAACACACTTCAGAAGCCACACCGTAATTATTTCGCAATTGGATTTCTTTCTCCATGTTATTGCGGGTCTCTCATCTTCTCCCGTGCTGATTATGGACGGCACGTACTGGGTGTAAATCTCTCTACTGCCATCCCTTAATCAGTTTTCTGATCTTGGAAATCTTTTACCATCTTATTCTGTAATCATTCCAGCTTTGCTTTGGCAACACATCAAATGGCGTGTCAGATAAGCTCATTGAATGTGAATTGACTTGTATTGACTGGCAGCTTTGGCTGGATGCTTGACAGACCCGACAAAACACGTTCTGTGGGAGAAGTAAGAGCCGAAGAGAAGAAACGTTCACATTTATGCATTTTCCACACCCACCTTTAAACCATCCTTTCTTCTCCCACTCAATTACCCATTTGGAAAGACATGAGGCACTTTCACGGCAAATACCCACAAAGCTTTTGCATACAAGAACAAACCAGCTGTACCTTCCAAGAGTTACACCACGGAGAGCTTGGTTGCACCTGAACGCAGAGGCAGGAGCCGAAGATAAAAGGGAACACAAACAACAAAGAGAAAAAGAATGAGATGTAAGAGAAGCTGAAAACGCACGACTCACCTGTGCGCTCGATGTAGTCGACACATTTATCGATGAATAGCGGGATTGGCCGGTCTGAAGTCACCAGATTCTGCAGGGGAACGCCAAAATAGTTGCTTTCCCAAGTTCTCCGGGTCGGCGGGTACAGAGGTTTGGTGGGTTTGGAAGATTTGGGCTATAAAAAGGGGAGGGAGAACACAAAGAAGAGGGGGTGAGGTGAGGTGATGCAGGATTAAGGGAGGGGGAGAGGGGGAAGAGCGGAGGAGGATGGAAGGGGATAAGGTGGGGTAGGAGAGTAAGAGAGGAGAGGAGAGAGGAGATACATGAGAGAGGAGAGGAGAGAGGAGATAAATGTAGAGGAGCGGGGAAAATGAAGAGGAGAGGAGAGAGAGGGAGAGAGGGATAAATGAGAGAGGAGAGAAATGAGAGAGGAGGGGAGAGAGACGGAGGAGGGAGAGAGGAGATAATGAGAGAGGAGAGGAGAGAGTGATAAATGAGAAGTGCTGAGATAAAGAGAGAGGAGAGAGGAGAGGAGAGAGGAGATAAATGAGAGAGGAGAGGAGAGAGGAGAGGAGGAGAGGAGAGGAGAGAGAGATGAGAGAGAGAGGAGAGAGGAGAAGGAGAGGGAGGAGGAGAGGAGAGAGGAGATAAATGAGAGAGGAGAGGAGAGAGGAGAGAGGAGGAGAGGAGAGGAGAGAGGAGAAGAAGAGAGGAGACATGAGGAGAGGAGAGAGGAGAAAATGAGAGAGGGAGGAGAGAGAGAGGAGAGGAGAGAGGAGATGAGAGAGGAGAGGAGAGAGGAAAGAGAGAGGAGAGGAGAGGAGAGGAGAGGAGAGGAGATAAATGAGAGGAGAGGAGAGGAGGGAGGAGAGGAGAGGAGGGAGAGAGGGAGGAGAGGAGAGGAGAGAGGATGAAGGAGAGGAGAAGAAAGGAGAGGAGAAAGGGAGGAGGGAGATAAATGAGAGGAGAGGATAAAGGAATGAGGAGAATGGAGGAGAGAGGACGATAAATGAGAGTGAGAGGAGAAAGCGAGTGAGGAGGAGATGGGAGGAATCAGAAGTTAAGAGAGAGGAGAAACAAGAGAGAAGAAAGGGGAAGTAGACATTTAGAAAAACATGAAATAGCAAGTTTGAAAATAGATTTTTAGGACATAAAAAAGGAAATGAGATGATTTAGAAACATCATAAGAAGGAAGGAATGGGTCGTCCATAAAAAATACAGAGCATGAAGGAATTAATGAAGAGAGAATCCAGGAGAAGACACGAGGGAGAGGATGATGAGGAAGCATAAGATACAGATGAAGAAGAGGAGGAGGAGCAGGAGGAGGGTAGTTGGGGAATAGATCAGACACAGAGTTAGTGGGATGATAGCAGAGGGACGCGGAGGAAGACGAGAAGAGAGAAGACAGACAGGACCGTTATTCAGAGCGGCGAGGAAGCTTTGATTTCCCACACGGCTCTGCTCTTCAAAGAGTTGTCATGCCTACAGCAGGTTCAGGCTCAACTCTAATTGGCCGGGACGGCGACTAAACACCTTCCATGTTGTACCTTGTGCTTCTTCCTTATTGCTCTCCTCTCTTATTATCAAAGACGGTTTGAAATGTTATGACAACGCCCCGCACTCATGTAGCGCCGGCTGTTTCTATACTGATCTGCCCGCTACTATCTGAAAGGCCAAAGTGTGCTTGCAGGAAACGGACTAATCGAGAGCGCTGTGAGTAGTTTGCTTAACACTGCCGTTGTTAAACAGCAGTACTTCCAACAGCCCACTTCTTCGATTGTGTGTTTTCATGTAACAACATTTTAATTTAAATCATATTGTATAAATTCAGACAAATGGGACGACACGAAGCAGAATGTGAATACGTCCATGTAGCCTGGGCCTCCATTGGTAACGCTTTGTGTTGTCTTTGATGTGATGTCTGTTCTTTATTTGCAGGTCCCATTAGTATGCGCTGCTTTCCACCTTCTACTCCAGTTGGACTCAGATGTTGCACTTTTCCGTGTTCATGTGATGTTTTGGTGTTGTTGTTGTTGTTGTTGTTTTGTAACTGTCAAATAAGTATTTTTTGCGTTTCTCTTATTATCCTAGGATACTGTTATGTTTGGCTGTGAATCAGAAAATATGAAGGACGGACCATATATTTATATTTTGAGAAAGGGGCAGGTCATATAATGGCGCATTTCCACAGCAGGGCCTCGCTCGGCTTAGTACGGTATAGCTAGGCCTCGTTAGGCCTTGGTAGGCCAGGCTCACGTTATGCTGCGTTTCCATTACAGTGTAGTAGCTGGGGCGGTAACTATAGTAACGCAGTGTAGGCGGAGCCGTGACGTCATCTTCAATGCGAAACACAAAACCAACATCAGCCGTTAGCTGTTAGCACTCAGAGCTCACAGCTCCTCATATCTGTTCAGAAACTAGACAGAAGTTAAACAAGTACAAACCACAGACTGCCTGTGTCATGGAGAATACAGTCGCTGCTTTATTTATGTCTGGAGGCCGTTGTTGTGAGCGTGGACGGTCGGAGCATATACTGCGTTATCTTAGCCGATCTCCATTTAGAAAACATGCATCTTAAAGGTGTTTCTCTGCCGTCTGTCTGCAGACTTGTCAAAGCATTAATTCATGGTTTTTACTAACCGGTATCAGTATGTTGTTACTTCGGCATCATTTTGAAACGTGTATTACAATTAAATCACGGTCAAATATGTTCATGTTGTTGTAGTTGTAGCCCCCTAGCCAGCGATTCTCTCTAGTTTAGCATACTCAGCCCGACTCAGCCCGGTTGTTGGCCCGGAAAGAACCACGATTTTGTCGAGCCAGAAAACTGTGAAAAAGTACCCGCTAGCCGGGCACAGCACGCTTAAACCGCGCTGTAGTGGAAATGCGCCATACCATTTGTTTTCTTCTCCCTTCTCTTTTTCGGTCAACGGTGTTTTTACAGAGACATGTTTTGTCAACACTAATTATACATGAAGTTGTGCATACTATGAACGGAACAAATAAAAATGAAATATTGCTGCTTAAGATCTGCAGCATCTGAAATTGTGCAAGTTTGTCTAAACTAGGCTCAATGCAAGTTAATACAACTGTAATTTCATTTATTTATATACTATCCTATGTATATGTTGTGTCTTTTTTGTGATCTTCTCTACCGTAGATATGTCCATAGGTTATTATATCTTCATGCCTGGACACATACAATTGTCTTTATATAAATATGTGTGTTTTTCAACAGGGAAGTGCTGGTTTAATTTCCCTCCACAGCATTCGTCTTGTATGATAGGGGCTGTATTAAATGCTCTTCCTGTATCGTGTGTGCTCAGCCGTCTCAGAGCAGCCTTCAGAGAGCGCTTGTAAAGGATAAGAAGGCATCTTATTATACAGACAGAGCCCTACTGTGTCAAACAGTGTGTATTTTATAAAAGCTTTTATTGCTTTTATGGGGGGCTGTAAGGTGAGGCGGCTTATAAACTATTTCAGCCTTGGGGGAGATCAATCAATTATCGAATTAGTTTATATTCACCGTGAGTCCATTTAAAAGAGAAATCAGCTCATATCTCACACCCACACAATCTCTTCTGCTCTCTTTCAGTTTCTCCCTCGTACTCAATGCTCTGAAGCTCTCCTCTCAAAACACCGCTTTGTCTTTGAGTGATAGTGTCTGTGAGTGATAGCATATTTGTTGTCTGCTTTCTTTTGAACTATCCTGCTTGCTAAAATCGAGCTGACATTAAAACTCAAAAGTCATTCATGACAGAACTCACCTTCTTCGGTTCTTTTGTCTTGTTCTTCTTCTTCTTCATCTTCTTGTCCTCCTGCTCGGGGTCGGAGGTGATGGCGGGGTTATCTATCCCACCTTTCCAGGGGTCTGCAGGGGAGAGTAATGGGTCTTCCTCGCTGCCTCGGTGGGCTCTTCCCTTTTTCTTTTTCTGCGTGGCAGGACCAGACTCTTCGCCATCGCTGTCCGATTGGAACCGTCTTTGGTAGGCCTTCGTTTTGCTGAACAGGATTTTAGAACGATGTTTGTATTTTGATGGCCGCCGCGCAGCCTGAGACTTTCTGTCAAACCCGTTCTCTTCCTCTCCTCCGTGGAGGCCGTGCAATCCACCGAAGGAGTTTCTTATTTTGACCAGGCGGCTGTGGGAGTCTTCGGGCACGGCGTAGATATCGTCGTTGTGGTATCTGGACCTCAACAAGGTGTCTACTGGGTCTGCATAGTTGTCTGACGCATCCACGTCCTCACCGTGCGTCAATTGGCCGCGTGGGATCCTACGGTTGCTTTTCATGCCAGCTTCGATGGTTTTCAACAGGTTGGGGTCCAGCTTTTTGACATTAGGTTTGGGCAACACTGGTTTGGGCCGGACAGGTGGAGGCACTTTGTGGTTGCGCTCATGATCTCCAATCGGGGTGCTATGGACTGGGTACTCATTGCCTTCTAGGTCAATGCGGTACTTTGCCCGCTCGCTGGGTGTGGGGAGAAGCTGAACATCATCACCTATTGGACTGTAAGGCGGCGGGGCCTCGTTGTCATCATCAGATTCTGGGTAATAGGTGTTGTAAGCCGGGGAGTGGCTATGAGGCGAGGTGGGGAACACGTCTTCACTCGCTCCAGTGGTGCACTCCCGTGACGAACTGTCGTAAAGGAAGGAACTCTCAATATTCGGCTTTTTCTCCAGCACTTCGTTGAAGAAGGGTGTAAAAACCTCCGTCTGCCGATGATACTGTGACAGGGAATAGAGGGCCGTGAACTTGGCAGCAATCTCTGTGGCAATGTGCTCCCCCTCCGTCATCAGCTCCTTGATGGCATCATTCTCAAAGAAGTCTGCCTGACTGTCTGTAATCGCCACCATCTGGACAGGGATCACGTCTTGGACCTCGGCCAAAAACGCCCGCAGCGTCGCCATAGAAGCCTTGCGTTTGGCAGAGTACACCAAGATGTAGCCGTGGACTAGTTCATCTTTGCGGACACCAATGGCAGTGTGGTAGGACAGGACGGTGACCTGGATCCTCCTCCTGCTGTCCCCGATGATCTTGTCTAGTATCAGTGTGTTGCTCTGGCCAGGCTGCCCGGCGCTACAGCAGTGTGAGTCTAAGAAAGGGGAGAGGATGAGGTCAACGCTGAAAGGATCCCAGCACATGGCGCACATGACTATCCTAAGATCTGTCTCTGACATGTCTTTGATAGATGGCAGTGGAGCCAAGACGTCAAAGTTATGCTTCAATCCCTCAAGTACCGCTCGAAGACCCTGCTTAACCTGGAACTCTGTGAATTTACGTGGAAAGGCCACAGAGGGGATGTCGACGAAGGTGCACTGCAACTTGTTGGCCAGCTGTTGGCCTTGGTGCCTCAGGATGGGTATGTTTTTGCAAATATTATCCCTCTGATTAGCCAGGATTAAAATGAACGGAAGTGGCTGTGCAAACCTATCTCGTCTACTTTGTGCTATCTCTGCTCTGATTCTGCCTATGCAATCTCCAATACAGTTGAGGGACTCTATGGAGTTGAACACACAAAAGCAGCCATGTGGCTTGAACGTGTTGACCCACGTATGGCTGAAGAGAAGCGTGGAATTGACATCCACGGGAAGAAGCTCCAGTTCGTAGATTTTTCCATCTAAGGTGTACTCGTCGTCTGTGGACTGAGCTCTGATCTCGTTGGCAAGTTCCTGTGAGAGACCCTCCCTTCCCAGGAGGCAGAGGTTGATCTTATCAATGTTGGCACTGCTATAGTAAAGATTAGAGCGTCCGTGGTCCAGCTGCACCAACCTGTTTGCTAAAACCTGCTCTACTTTCATATCCACACAGTTTTGCCCACTCAGGCATGTCTCCTTAGTGGGATGGTACACAAACCCAATGTGTTTGAGAAGGAGTGACTCTCTATCTGGGGCAAGTTTCTGCAGTGCTCTGTATCTGGGCTCCTCATTCAGCACACAGTGGATCTCGCTCATTTTGTCGCAGCTGGGGGTAGCGTTCAGATCCAAGTCATAGAAAAGCTCAGCATGCTCAAAAAGCATTTCCTGAAAATCCTCTTTGGCCCTTTCAACTATTTCCTGCTGGTGTCTACAGTAAACATCCCTTCTATCTGATTCTGAGATGTACTTGTAGGCCTCGTCCTCCATGACAAAGCACATGACTTCCTCCCAAGGCTGCCCTGCACTGATAAAATGAACCCTATCCAGTGTCTTCTTGAACCTATCTTTCATCTCCCCCCTTCTCTTCTCAGACAGCAAGTGCTGGACGTGGTTATGGTAAATTCTCTCCCCATCAGGTGTTTCGAGGAGGTCAAAGGGTATCCTGCGATCGCTGATGTCAATATGGTCGGTCTCATCCCACGGCGTTTTCTCCAGAACGACAAACCAGTACTGGAAGTCAGTTCTGTTCCGGATCACACTCTGAGCCTCGGGCCAGGAGAGGTGCTCGACCTCGTCCAGGTTGTTGAGGAGGTTGTTCAGGGTTTTCGGTAGCGTCGTCAGGTACTCTTCCCTCCTTCTCCTGATGTGCTCCTGCTTCAGTTGTGCAATGTGCTTTGTGAACATGTTGCGTGCTTTCCTGGTGCCCTCCAACATGATGAAATCATCATAGTCAGACTGCCCCTTCAGATTAGTACTCACTGTTGTCCACGTGGTGTGGTAATCTCTCACTGTGTGCTTCATCACTTTCTCAAATCTATCAGTTAATGAGGCTACAAGATGCCGTTGGATTTTATAGGCGTCCAGGTATGGCACAGTTTTTGGCTTCCCCCTTGTTTTATCCAGCTGCTGGATTAGGACGTTGAAGCAAACTTCTACGTTGATGTTGCACCGTGCTGACGTTTCAATTAGCAGCAGGTTCTTCTTGTTGGCAACAAAGGCCTGCAGGTCCCTCAGATGCTGGTCCACATACTCGTCACATTTTGTGGCAGCGATGACAATGGGCTTCTTTGACTTGACAATTTGGGAGTACACGCTGTTGACAAACTTCATCTGATCTTCAAACTTCCTATTGCAACCCTTGCTAATATCGATACAGAGAACAAAGCCGTCGATGTTTAGCTTTCCATCGGGCATCTGCCTCTGCTCAAAGTCCTGCTCCAAGCCCAGCTGGTCCGTACAGATGTACATTAGCTTTTCCGCCGACTGGAGCTTTGACGCTGCCGCCCGTTTGGTGTACGGCTGCAGGTTCGTACTCCGATGCGGAAGAAACGTCTGGTCATCGATAAACTCCGTCTGTTCAATGACTTGTAATTTACAGTCCAACCCATCGTCGCCTCGATGCGCCACTTCCCCCCAGTACAGGAAGTGGTCATTGTTTACAACTCGTCCCCCAAAGTCTATTGTGCTCAGAACTGAGGTGTGCTCTGAGTAGTAGCTGTCCGCATTGGGGCGCATGTACCGGTTGCATAGGCAGGACTTGCCAACGCCACAATTCCCCTTCTCTTTCTCCGTCCCCGAGAGGCCAACCACACTGAGGGCGAATGTCGGGGGGCGTGCATCCTTGTTCTTGGCCATTATTTCCCCCCACGCATCGCTGACTTGGTCACTTCCAGGAAAAAGGTCAAGATATCATTCCAGTTCTGCTCGTCAGTGGTAAAGGGGCACATTCATCCTGATTTCCCTTGGCAGTGGTGTATCCCCCTCCAACTTAGTATATCTCTCTCTCCACTTCTGTCCTGGGTCTTCTTTAAGCTGCGAGAGAACAGCTGGCTTCCCCTTTTATCACCTGCCTGCAAGACATGGAGTTTACAATTAGGAAAAGATAAAAGGCAAAACAAACTAAAACATATTGGCACGGATTTGTCCTCTGAGCCCTTTAGTCTCCTTATCACAAATAACATAATTAGCTTTTTGTTTCCCTGCACATCCCTCTAGGACATATATGTACACGTATGCACGGTGTGGTGGTTTTGAACAACAAATCAGACATGTTAATCAGGCATTACAGAGAGTTATCGGGAAATTATACAACGGTACACATTATCACACTTGTGCAGGACAAAATAATCCCTCCTAAATAGTAAAAGCTTAACAAAAAGGCTTTTGATCAGCCTTTCATGTATTAGTTACAACGTGAGCTCGTCTTAAAACATCACAGTTGTAGGTTTCTAATCTAAAAGTATGATTTAAAAAAAGCCTCCTGCATTTTGGATTCTTTTTACTACAATATGAAAAAGGACTTTTTGGATGACAAAGGGCGACAGTATGATTCATATCAAAGAAAGGGAGAGTAATTCAATCAGGGGCCGTGTTCAGCAATGTCACTTTCCTCTCGCAGAGAAAAAGAAGTGCTTTCAACCAATTTGTGCCGAGGCAGGATAAAAATGGCTTGCAACTCCAGGCCTTTGACAGCCACTGACCTAGAAATGATGTGCGTCCCCATGAGAAAGAAACAGAGAACATAAATCAGTTCACAGATTTGTTATCATCGGCACATGATGAGGGTTGAACGTATAATCCTGATTATTTGGCCCGTCGTTCTCTTAATGCCTTACATTCTAATGACTAATCCTAATTGGCACTCTTCATTATGTGTGGAAGGAAATCATTTGGCTTCTTGCAGTATCTTTTCAACACAACAGCGTAAAAGAACTGCATTCACAGAGTGTTAAAGTAAAACATGTTGCATCTGATGGTCTTTCCTATCTGTATCATCTGGGATTCAGTCAAATAAGCCTTTAACTCTTGCATGACCTAACGAGTGGCTGATAACTGATAACTGCGGAGAATTGCAGTCATTGTTGTGTTTTACAGAACGATGGCAATCAGCCAGTGAATTTGCCTGCGTGAGCTGGAACCGCTAGCTGCAGCGCGACGGCATGCTGAGCCTGAGAAACTGCACCAGAGTCGAAACTCGTTGCTCGACACGAGGCAGTGAGGTTTCCCCTGACTGTTTATAGAGGCCAAGGTGATGAGGTCACCTGTGTGGGGGGTTTGGGGAGTTCAGCACATCCACAGCCTTCTTTAGAAACAAGCTAAATGTATGGAAATGTATTCAGAAGACGTAATCTAGTATTTCACAGGGAGATCAAATAACGTATTTGCTGTTGTGTTAACACTATACCTGAAGAATCAGAAACAGGTTTATCACCAGGTGGGTTTACACTTACGAGGAACTTGACTAGGTGTTATACATAAAAGTAAACCATCAATTAAAGCACAGATAAACTAGAAAAAATATTAAAAATATAATGAAAAATATAAATATAACAGTATTTACATCACATTGCAACGGAACTGAATACAAGTGAATAAAATATGGAATAAAAATAAATCGGCAGTAATGAGAAAAGAAAACAGATGTTGTTGTACTTGTAGAAGTGCAGTAATCTATTCCAAAGAGAGATCAAATAACCTCAGGGTAAACAAGCCCAATAGCGCCCAGGAAATGTTCCTTTAATGTTTAGTCAGCTGATATATAACAATACCACCTCAGACAAGAAGCCTATTCTCCCTCCAACACACCCAGGACATGAGATGACGTCGGAAAGCAAACTGACAAGCAGGTTTGTCAGGTTTACAAATCCAACCAGCGGACGCTACAAAAGCTGCTGCTGCATGAACCGGATCCTCGCCGGCAACCAGGAATACCTGCGCTTTTATGAAGAAACACACGACATACATGTGCACACTTTAAAGTGACACTAAAGCAAGGTATTTATATTACTAACTGTTGACCAACTAACAAGACGTCTACAAATGGCCTTCTTTCAACAAGCGGTGACACTGGTACTAATAAACATTTGGAATCATTATTTGGCAAAAGACTAAGACCCTCAATTACAACAACTGAAATCTATTAATATTGTGTTGATTGACTAACTTACAGATTATTACAGCCCTTGCACATACACTTTAAAGTGACACTAATGCCTTAAAGCAAGGTCTCTCTGTTAATAACTCGTGTTTTTTTAATGACCAACGATGCTTTACACAAATGAGCAAGTCTACAAATTGCCTTCTTTCAACATACAGCAAAAACATTCCTAAATGTGAACACACAGTACATGAGACACTTTTCCTACTGGTGACAGTGGTGATAATTAACATGTGGAATCATTATTTTGCAAAAGACTAAGACCCTCAATTACAAAAACTGAAATCTATGAATATTGTGTTGATCGACTAACCAACAGATTATTACAGCCCTACATTCCCCCTCTGATCCCCATCCAAACCACAGTGTTTGAGCAGATCCTTCGATTCAAACATCTGTTTTGCATTATTGTCGGCCAACATCAAGTTCTATTTCCCTGTTGTCAACACACAGGGTCCCTACAAGACCCATGAGGCGCTTTCACACCGGAGTACTTTTCCCAGTATAGTTCCGAAATGTCAAGTTCACACCAAACAAATCCGGAACTAAAGCTTAGTTCGTGAGAACCTTTTCACCCCGTTTTCCGTCCCTGCTAGAGAGCAGGGACTTTCGGAGAAAAAGGTTCCTATCTCTGATTGGCTGGGCGGATTGCAAACCACGCCCCGTAAAACCAAACAAAAGTTTTGTGAAGCCGCCATTTTATTATCCTCGCATTAGCATTATTAGCATTAGCCCTGCGCACCAACTCAGAGAGACTAACTTATGGCAACACAAAATAAAACATGGGAGCGGTGGAGATGAGGAGGTGTCGGCGTTCTGGCGATTTACTCGGAAGGCTTCAGTAGAAGCTGCTGGGAGTCCCAGCAGCTTCTACTGAAGCCAGTCCCCAACTCCGGGGACTTCCGGCCGGGGACTCCGGGTGGCAGTATACGCCGTGAAGTGGTTTGCGGCCTGCCAGTAAACCCAAAGCAGAAGAAGAAGAAGTGACGTCAGCGGCTTAATTTGCCTAATCCTCCCTCAGGGACTTATTCCGGTATGAACGCGATCTGCACTTAGTTCATGAGAACTAAAGAGTTCTGATGAACTAAGTACGGCAAAGTACTTGGTGTGAAAGCGCCTATGGATAGTTGCCAACATGTATGAAGAGAGGAAGGGTAGCAGAGCTAGTCAGTTAGCTGTAAACACCCAGATGGAGCCTCTTATAACTGCAAAACATCACAGCTGAAACGTGTGCAGCACAAATAGCTAAAAGTAGCCTCATGATTAGTCTATTCACTGCAGGGGGGGGGGGATTAAGGTATCACTTGGCAAGCTGGTTTTAGAGATGACTAAATGCTGTAAAGCCTCAAAACCCAGCGGACACACTGCCAAAGACGGTAGACCTTGTAAAGCTGCACCCCGCAGAATGTTTTAGGTAAAAAAGAAACTTGTTTTTCTCAGTCTGAATCTCAAAGAGGGGCTCCAACAGAGAAAAGGGGCTCAGCGTCTTTAAATGAGGTGCCACGGGCTCATTATGTTCCCCTTCCCTAGAAGACATTCTGATCTTGAGTACAGACAAACCCACTCCCACTGGAAGACATGAATCAAAACTTAGAAGTCAACTCCAAACTGCGTCCTATGAGGCAAAATGGAGCTCTATAGACAGACAGAAAAAGTTGCCCTCTTTTCTGACTATAAATCATGACAGGCGAGTCAGGGGCGCGCCCCCCCCCCCCCTCACAGGATTACTGGGTACTCACTTTCACATTTTTAAACCATTACCTGTCACTGGCATTTTTCAGCTGCAGGCACTTTTAAATGTCAGCTAACCATCATCAGGACTGCTGGAGTTGTACATCAAAAGCAACAACAAGCAAACGCTCTGAAGTCTTAAGTGAAAGTCTCTCTGCGGTAAAGTGTGCAGTCTGAGGGAAGGCCATCCCATAATAAGGAATCATCCTGCTGAGTTAGTGGCATCATGCTTTTCATTTTCACTGTGCAGTTGCTCAACAAGAGATCCATGCCAGTAAAAACAAAGCTTTGTTTACATCGATGACTTTAGTGCAAAACTATGCGAGGCAGCAGGCAAAGTATTTCAAGGGAAATAATTTATTTTCTGGATCTTTATAAACAGATTATTTTAAACATGACTCTCTCCCAGAGCCCAGATTCAGACCTGAGCATCTGTCTATCCATATATATATCCATCTATCTATC